TACCTTTCACCCCTAAAGATACCTTGGGTTTAGGGGTTAGGGTTTAGGTTTTGGGGCTTAGGGTTTAGGGTTCAAGGATTAGGGTTTGGGTTTTGGGGAGTAGGGCTCGGAGAGTAGGGTTTAGGGTTTCAGTCGGCATAAGCGTTTTTGCTAGAAGGATTTTGCGATGATTTTACACCAACCTATTCTCCAAACCCAGCTAAGCTCTAAGTCCTGCAACCTCGAAAAACCCCATATAAACACCTAAAAACTTGAAAGTGTTCGGACGTGGCCTGATGGCTCTCCTCTCCTTGGCTCCGCAGAGCTCTCCTGCGCAGCGGTGTTGGGTTTGGAGTTTAGGGTTCATAACACAAGAACCAAAATGAGCATGGGATCCAAAGTGTCAGGCCATCTTCCAACATGCCGTCTATGTCTGCTTTTCTGCCCTGTACATCACTGATAGTCAGCATAGTGAGCACTCCAACATCCATTGGTTATTCTTGTTCTTGCTGTGTTGACAAAAGAGGACGTTCCATCCCATGGTTAAAGATTCGTGAGAGCGCGCAGATGTCAAACCACTGAAACTTGAAAGCGTCTGATTCTGCAGGGAGGAAAAACTCGGCAAATGCTGCTGCGGAGGAAGTGGAGTGAATCATGTTGAACAAGCGGTTTGCAAAGCCTCAAAACACAAAGTTCCCTGCATACCTTGTGTGACGTAAGCTTATTACAACAGATTCTTGTGGCAGGTCAGTGCAAACTGTGTATTTGGCAGCTCCTATCACAACGAAGTGGGAGTTTCATAGAACCAGGGTATGCCAACATAGGGTTTGGGGTCAGTGCTTAGGGGGCATGATGTCAGGCAGTTCATTGTCGTGCGCAAGAAGATTGATGACTTTGTAGCCCCTGCAGCTGATACCACTGATGCCATTCCTGCTTTGGGAACAGACCCCTTTACGTTCTTCGCAAGTCGTTCGAAATTCATTCGTTTACCTTCCCCACCCCCCCTTTTCTAGTGGTATGATAGGATCATAGGAGGGCCCTAGTCACTATTGCTGGGTGGGGGGTCCACCTAAAAACGTCAGGCGTAGATCTTCTTTTAATGCCCCTCAACCCGCCTGAACTCTGAATCCTGAAGCCTGAATCCTGAACCCGGCGCCGTAACTCCTGAACACTACAGCCTGAACTTTAAACCCAAAACACCAAACGCTGAACCCTAAAGTCAAAATCCCGCACCTCCACGTGTGAAAACCGTGGTCAGGGAAAACCCGGACAATCCTCATGGGTTCCCCTATTCACTAACCCTAAATTGTTGGGGAAGTTTATAGGGTTTAGGGTTTAGGGTTTAGGGGAACCCATGAACTCCCCAAACCCTAAACCCTTTTTGTAAGGGACCCATGAAGTCCTGGCCTCAATTTTGGAAAGCTCAATCGGCACTCCATGGGCAACACACACAGGACCATGAAGGGATCTCCTCCGGATTAGGTTGTATAGGGGCCCCTTTTAAGGAGATCTACCGGGGTTCTACGGGATATGTAGGATGTAAAGAAATATGCAGGGGTCGGGGCTTCCGAAAAACTAGGGGGCTAGTTCAAGGAGCCCCTGTAATACTAGAGTCTGTATTGGGGACTCCCACTTACGAAAACTCTCATTTTTGGGCTAGAGCATGGTTATGCCATGGTTGAAAAATCTTTTGCAACTCCAAAGGCTGAGAAGTTTTGCCACCTGCGTGCACTGGCATGTCCAGATCTTTAGGGCTAAGGGCCTGGACATGTACGTATTAATATATTGATGTAGTAATATGGTGAGAGCGGAATATAGTAATAGAGGAATAAAGTAATATAGAGTGCAAGGCCTTGTGCTTTCAGGTCAATGTCAAGGGCCTCCTTAAGCTTCAAGGATTTAGGATTCCCTAGAAACGTTGCAACCCATATACCCGCAAGACATTAGAACCTTTGCCATAGGGCCCGCACGAAGGGCCGCCAATTGTGGGAAACCCTACGTAGTCCCTATAAGCCACTATATAAACGCAGTTTCCATGTCATTTTGCATCTCCTTTTCGATTTGATTCTACATAATTGGGAGAATGCCCCTAGACCCCCTAAACCCTAAACCCTACATAATCCGTCTATACCCCTATATTACCCCATGTGGGGTCTGGAGCTTGAAGGGTAAAGATCTCCTCCATCTTTACCGGTTGTGCAGCTGACCACGAGGGTCTTGGCAGGCAACACGTCGTGGGAGGGGACCTCCAGGGAACAGAAAAGTGTACGCGGTTTAGAGTTTAGGGTTTAGTTTTTAAGGTTTAGGGTTGGTTCCATCTTGAATACTAAGTACCTCCCCCCGATAATTAAACAATTGCTACTGAGACATAATTGCTTTTTGCAACGTGGTAACACTTATTACGTAGAAGGTGATAGTTAACATGAAATCAGAAGGCGCAAACATAAACTTGTATCAGCTATTGGACCTGTCACCTTCCTTGTTTCCACTACTGCAATCGCCTTAGTATTCAATTGGAATCTAGTACACGTAATAGTTAGCTAAAGTAGGGTTGTAAGGAATTAATGTTGGTAGTTAT